AATTCTGTTACATGTTTGTTTATTGTCTGCACTTTCCCACAACTAAAATGTAACGTTCATGAGATCGTCTGCCATGCCCATTGCTCCTATCGCCAGGACCCAGCACCCAGACGGCCACTGTGGCAGGAAGGGAGAAGAGGCAGACTCATTCAGTATATATTATTCAGCAAGTCATGTCTGGACCTCACTTTACTGGTCTATAAAATGAGGCGATGATTTTTTTCAACAGATCCTTCCAGGTCTGACTTCGGAGGATTCTACAAATACCTCGTCTCAGACCTCCAGGGGTGAGGGCAGCCCTGCATGCATCTTTTAGGGCTGAGAAGAAAGATGATCATCTTAGAAAAGCAGCAGCGTTGAAGAGCAGGAAACATTTTCACACTCAGACAGGAGTGTGAAAAGAGAGCTCAACACTCCCAAGGAGAAGAGAATGAGAAAAGGGAAGCGGAGATTGATAATGGATGGATATAATGAGATGGCAATTTTGGTTTCAAAAGAATGTGATTAGCTCCTAATGACTGCCACAATTCCCTGGTCAATCTACTGTAACCAGCTGCTAATGTAAAAATAATGCCCCTCGCCTGGCTCACTTTGAAAACAGAGATGAATCTCTCTTTCATACTTTTGCCCCCTCTTATTTTTTTCCTCCAAGAGATTATCTTCTGTTAGATTGTAGCTCCCTAAAAAGGAAAATGGAGGTGTGATCAGAGTCTGCCAATTAGGAGGTCACGTGGGGTCATCACCTCATCACCACTCTCTCCTGGGTGGGCGGCTCTGTTGGGCCTTCCTCTTCTACCAAGCTCCAAATTGTTCTCCAGCTCCCACCAGGAGGGAGACAGAGGCTGCAGGGGCTGAGGCAGCATCCTGAATGGCTTCCCATGGAGAAGGCCACTCATCACAGAGGTTTTGTGTAGTTTAAGATTTTTCTAAAGCTGTCTGCCTGCTGGGTGCATCCTGAAAAGCATGGCCTGGATGTTGAGAGGGCTCCCAACTGTGTGTCATTTAAGGACTCTGGGGGTAGAGTAGACAGGGACCTTCAGCAAATCTCTGCAGTGTCGCCATGTAGAAGGTGCATGCTTATTCTGAGAGCCCCATGGAGCAGGCCAAAGGCAAAGTATGTGAAGACAGAACAAACAAAACATTGTCTAGTGGGTCTGTCTAAAAGTGAGACAGGAAGCTTTATGGGGCAGTGAGCTCTCTGTCGCTGAGGGTATCCAAGTAGCAGATGCCATAGATCAGCTTAGCAGCTGCCTAGAAGGCAATTATAAATAGGAACACAACCAGATGATTTTCAAAATCACTTACACCTCTGAGAGTCCAATATCTTTGCCTTCTAAATGTACAGAAGGAGCCTCACCCACTGATTTTTGTATCCATCTATCCACTTGTTTATTTAAAAGCAGTGATTCAAGGACATATGAAGTACAAAGCCAATATTGGGCTCTGGAGGTACAGACATAAACAAGAGGCTCTCCTTTCCCTGGAGCAATCCATCACCAAGTTGGGAGACAAGACATCCAGATTATTAGATGTAGAAGAGTCCATCCAATAACAGAAGAAGTGACTGACTAGTCGAGGGTACGATGAGGTGGTAGGAAGGTGAAAGGGGAAGGTTTCACAAAGGAGAAGATATCGAACTGGGTTTTGAAGAGTATGTAGAAGTTTACTAGGTAGACTCATGTGGAAGAGAATTTTAGGCAGAGGGAACAGCATGCAGAGAGCCAGTCTCAGAAATCTGAAACAGCCAAAATTGTCCATAGCGTTGCATTTAGTGCCTTTAGTGCCCCCAGATAATTAGTTTGAAAACACTTGGCATGTCCTCTCCTTGTCTTCACACTGCTTTGGGGTGAATATAATTGGATGAACATTCGGCTCTTATCACAGAGGGTTTCAGGTAGAAAATCCACCCCCAGAATATCAGCTTAAACATTGAGAAGTTCAATGCTGCTGCCAAGACGAGCATATCCAACCTTGCAGAGGTCCAAGACTGGGTGTGTGCCCCTGGCTTGTTGCCTGAAACAGCTGGTGCTACCTGGCTGCAGCAGGAGGATGAGACCAGGTGCTGGAATCTGAGTGCTAAGAGTCACTAGCAAAAGCAGGAGCCATTTGCAGTCTAGAGAGGACCTCTGCTGGTGGCGGGAGGGATGCAGTGTGATGGTCATTGACAGGGGCAAGAAGAGGAGGAGGGGAAGACTCAGGAGAGGGGAGCGGAGCCCTCCATTTATAAAATAAGCATTTTCCTATCTCCACCGAGCTTTTGTCACATGGAGATTAAAGGCAGAGATTGGCGCCCAGAACCTATACTCTGTCGCTTCTCCTCTGGGATACCTGTCTAAGGGTCTCTGTCACACACAAGATTCTGATCCATCGATAGCTGGGAAGACACTCTACTGCCCCAACCTAAAACCCTGGGGAAGCTAAGCTGGAGAACACGGGCTAGTCAGGAAGCCAGGCAAGGGCTTCCTACCCCATCTCCACACCATCTGGAATGGGCATCAGTTCTACCTACCCAACGGCTGCAGAGTTGAAGGTCATGGTCGCACTTCTAGAACAAAGGTCAGCAAACTACAGTCATAGGCAACCTGGTTTTGCTAAATACAGTTTTACTGGGACACAGCCATGCCCATTTGTTTGCATTCTGTCTGTGACTGCTTTCGCTCTGCAACAGTGGAGCTGAGTAGGAGTAGTTACAACAGATTGCATGGCCTACAAAGCCCAAATTGCCTACTATCTGGCCCATTACAGAAAATGTTGGCCAGCCTCTGCTCTAAAAAAGGACCCACCCAGGCTGGCTTAGCACATGGGAGACTGGAAGCAAGAAAGAGGGCATGGTGCTTGGGCTGTGCTGGTGATAGACAGTGGCCCTGCCTGCCTGTCAAACATGGCCTGCTGAATGGCTGAATTTCTGACCAATCAGGTTACAGATTCCTCCTTGCTTAGGATAGACCTAGCAAGGAATAGATGGGCAAAGGCAAAGCTGGTTTGTTAAGATGAGTGGCTGCTCCATTCCCCTGCACTGCTGACAGGGACCTGCGTAGACTGGAGATGTTGCAGATTCCGTCCCAGAAGCAGTGCAAGGCCCACAAGCAGAGCATTCAGCCCTTTCTCCCAGAAGCAGGGTGGGAACAGTAGTCAAAGTGTGGCCTGACCTTCATGCTCTGCAGCCTCCCTAAAGCTGTCCCTTCTCCCTTAAATGCCCAGCTTCCTTCTCTTTGAGATAACTGACTATACCCACCTTTGTGTTTCCGTAACACTTGGCTCATAACTCTAAATCATTCCATACGGTTGCTCACTTGTCTGTCTTCTCGTAAACCGATAACTCCCATCTCTTCCCTCCCCCAAATTTTGACCCTGAACTTCGTCATTCAATTCCCTACTCAACATCTCAGCTTGGATGTCGAATACTCTCAAATGTGCTGCTGCTGCTGCTGCGCTGCTACTGATATTCTTACCCTTTTGTTTGTACATGTTAAGAAGCACATAGTACTCAACAAGCACTAGGCACTATTCTAAACGCTTTATGTGCCCAAAACACAACGCTTAATTCCTGCCTCCCCCATGCTGTTTCTTCCCCACCTGCTTCTTCTCCATCTCAGTAAGTGACATGACTCTTCACTCGGTCCTTCAAGCCAATAGTCTGGGTGTCAGCTTTCATCCCTCTCTTTCCTTCATAGTCCACATCTACAGTAGATGTGTTGTGACCTGCCCCTGTATCCCCTCTCCACTCCTTGTACCCAGTGCTGCCTCCTGGAAGCACCTGAGGCTTTGCCTGAGGACTTCCTCAACACCGTGGAATATGTACACCTTGCCTGCAGAGCACGGCAGTGTTAAGGGAATCCCTATGAGTTGTCCTCAGCTGGTAGGTGGGAATCGGTGGATAAACACCCCAGCCTCCTTCTCCCTCTGGTGGGCATGAAATGGGCATGGGATTCAGCCCCAGCTACATCAGTGGTAAGCTGCCCACTCATTTACCCTGTATTGACTTCCTTCCCTCGATTGCCTCACTTCCCCGACTTTCACACGCATACTTCTTAGGATTGTCTCCAAATAGAGCCTCATATTCAGATCCTTTTTTTTCTAAAGCAGTGAGCCTGCTTTGGAGAGAACCAAAATCTACAATATTCAACTGAAAATAATTGCTTCTCACCAGACCCACTGCCACCATCCTGGTACCAGGGTCCAAGGTACCGTCCTCTCTTTCCTGGACTATTGATCTCCCTGCTTCCTTTCTAGGCCCACTAGTTCCTGTATTTCATACATGAGCCAAAATGTACTTTGTAAAGCATAAATCAGATCAGGTAACTCTCCTGCTGGTTTCCAATCACAGTTAGAATAACACGCCCCTGGTTACCAGCGACCTCAGCGCCCCCTCTAATCTAAACTCTCCCAGCCTCTCCTGGTGCTCTGTCACTGCCCTCCCCCACCTCACCCTTGACTGTGGTCATTTGGTTGCCACCTCTGCACCTGCTGTTCCCTCTGTCTGGAAAGTGCCTCCTGCGTTTCTTGGGATGAGTGGCTTTTTCACACCATTAAGTTATTAGCTCAAGTGTTATGTTCTTGAAGGCGGCCTCACAGATTGTGTAACCTGAAATAATCCTCATCCTCCATCACTATCCTTTCACCCTCTCCCAGTCATCTGGAAGTTCAGGGGCCACTTTGTTTATTTCTCTGTGCCCCAAGTATGTAGAACAGTGCCAGACACATATTAGGGACTCAATAAATATCCGTCAAATGAATGAATGAATGAATGAATGACTCCTCTCCCAGACCAGATTTGGGCTCATGGCACAGAAGACATCAGTGGCATCTGAGTCAATGAAGGAGCGAATAAGGCCATGGAGGGGCCCAGTCTGTGTTCTCCCCAGGCCCCATCCAAGACCACGCAGCCCTTTGCATGGAATGACCCGTCACAGTGGGTGTCGTTTCCCCCACTGGCTCATCTTCATCTGCCTAGAGCTCCTATCTCAGGCCATTCTAACCACTCTGTCCTTTCTTTGTAGGCCTTACCGGAGGGGCAGACAGCTTCGTGGGACACAGCCAAAGAGGATGAAAATCGCAATAAGAATCGATACGGAAACATCATATCCTGTAAGTGCTCTTCTGGGCGGCCCCAGGCTTCGGGGGCATGGAGGAAACAACGCTGTTACTATTATTTACCTAGAATTTGTTATCATGCAATTAATCCTTGATGTTTCCAACTTTGGGTCAACATGCCAAGCTGGGAGCTGTAGTTCAGTCTCCCTGTTGTATCTGGCCTGGTGACAGCATGGCTGACCTTGGCCACAGGAGGCAGGTAGGAAGCTGGGTCCCAGTGGAGAAGATCCAGGAAGTTTCTGAAAGCTGGGTCTTGCCTGGCATTGCCCACTATGCAAGCATTTTTTTAGGTTGGGGAGGAAGCCTGGCCAAAAGGAATTATTTTATTCCTAATGGTTCCTCTAAAGTAGAGTACTTCTGGAGAAGTGACTCAGGGTAGGGAGCAAGGTCCAGCCCACAAGGGAGGGGCTGAGAACACCCAGGCCAGAGCACACTGCAACTCTAAGAAGATAGAGTCCCAGGCGAGGGTTGATGCTCAGAAGGAGCCAGAAACTCTGAGGACTGGCAGCAGCCCACTCAGGGCTCGAAGGAGCCCCAGGTTACTCCAGTCACAGCAGAGGCAGGGTTGAGGGCATCACGACTTCTGCCAGACCCCATGCCCGTGGGCAGAGACTCTCAGGAGCGTGCCTGCCGCCCAGGGCTGCATGGGCACAGGCACCGGTGGCCCTGAGCCTGCAGGAGGAAAGCACGTTGTGTGCCGAGCTAGAGGCGGGATGGAAGGGCATTGCCTTTTGTGTGACAGTGAGCTATAGGCCCCCCTGAAGTGATGTGACGGAGGCAGTGGTGCAGAGCGGTCACAGCCCTCTGCAGTCACACTGCCTGGGCAACTGTCCTGCCTACGGGGCCCAGGCAAGTTTCCTGTCCTTTCCAAGCCTCACTCCTCACCTTTAAAATGATGAAAATAGGGTCACTGAAAACACAGGTAGGGTCACTGAAAGAAGGTATGTAAAACCCAGTACCTGAGATCATTGTACTCATAGCCCTGGAGTTAACATTTGTAAAGTCACTGCTAAGCAGTATCTACATAGCACTCTACCGCATTTCAACTGGAATTCACTCAATACCCATGAGGGGTCATGGAATAAGCCAGGATTTGGGAGGCGGGTGATCATATGTCCATTTTGGAAAGATCTCTAGGGTAGCTGATTGGGAGGGCGAGTTAGATTGGGAAAGGCTGGAGGCAGTGGGACCAGTCAAGAGGCTACTGCAGTGGTCCCAGCAAGGGATGATGAGGCCTGAACAAAGTCAGTAACAGTATTTGTGTGTGACCACATGCGGGAGTGAGTGAATGGGGAAGAGATGGAGAGACAGACTGCCATAGAGCTAATCATCAGGTCGCACACCAGTATTGTCACTGCCAAATGTTGGTGTGCACAGTCTTGAAAGCACCATGATATACATGGAGAGGACAGAGTTACCTCATACGGAAAGCTGAGTACAGGTTCTCATTAGAACAGCATCTACAACAGCCTGTGTCTCCTCGGTATAGCCAACCTGGGCCTTCTGATGTCTCACCAGTTGGGTACATAGCACTCCTTGGTCTCTGCTCTCAGAGTAAACCAGTCAAAAAAAATATCGTGAATAACTAATTATGTCTAGCACAGCTCAGTGATTTGTTTTGTTTCACTGTCTAGACGTTGCCTAAGAACAAATGTGGAGGAAGAAAGCGTTAAGATAACAGGCAGCCTGTAGAGGAAGAAGGAGGCAGAGTTTTAGCTTAGCTGTTTCCTGTGCCGATTTAGGAATGGGCTATGAATGGTAGAACTAATCAGAAAACACTTATAATGTGCCTCTCGGAAGACAGCAATGCAGACGGCAAGATTTCTCGCAGATGAAGCACTGGAAAGGGATGTGCAAAAGATCAGGAAGTGTGTGTCGAGACCTATGGCGTGTGGGCATCCTCTGAGCCAGGCCTGGTGGTGGGCACCGGGGCACTCAAGCCTCTTCCCCCAGGGAGCTCCCATCCTGGGCACATGTGGCCACTCACTCTGACCACTCTCAGCCCGAGGACCGTGCCCTAAAATATCCGGTCGCTTGTCTGCTCCCCCTATCAGATTGTGAGTCCAGATAGGGTCACTGAATTATAGGCTGTGAGACCTTGCGGGATCACTCGAACCCTTAGTCTTTGGCCTGTAAAATGGGTACAGTGATGTCTTCCTCGCAGGGGTGTTGTGCAGAGAAGAAAAAATAAAAGACTACAGCACGGTGAGGAGACCTACCTTCCTGAGAGGCAGGGACAACCAGGCAGAGTCAGGTATCGGGGCCAAAGCCGGTGGAAGCCAACGGCGAAAAGCCTAGCCACGCCACGTGTCTCTCCAGACACGTGCTCACCTTCTGCTGTCCACACCTTTGCCCACGCCGTCACCTGCTCTCATCCGGCCTCTACCTGGCCTGGTTCCTGGTTGCTCCCCATCCACCTCTGCCCCCAGCTTTCTCCCTATCTGATCTCTGACAGAGGCGAGAGGGCCCTGAATTGAATCGTGTCATCTTACTGGAAACTCTTCAAATGGTTGCCCTTCGCTCACGAACACTCCTTGTCCAAAGTCTCTTAGCCGCCTCTCCCGTCTCGTGTCCCACCGTGTCCTCTCTGTGGTGGTCTCCTCCAGTAAGCCACACGGACTTTCCTTCAGTCCCTGGAGTTTCCCGTGCTCACCAATGCCACAGGGCCTTTGCTCATTCTGTTCTTTCTATCAAAGTGTCCTTTCCTCCTCTCTTTGTTCTATTAATTCAACTTTTTCTTTCGGTCTTAGCTCAGTCACCACTTTCTCAGGGATTCTTCTGGCCTTTTGAATTTGCTCAGAGCCCCGTTATTCACTCCCAGAGCACGGATGTGTCTCCCCCTTAGCCCTTATCGTCGTTGTGATCCCAGAGGCATTTCAGTGGCTACCTGTCGCCGGCCTGACTCCCTCACAAACACAGATGCTCTGGAACAACAGACCCGTGACTGTCCTGCACTTCTGTGTTTCCAAACCTGCCATATGGTTTGTGCTCAGTGAATAGGAATTGAATGTTGGAAAGTGCAGATTCTCTGCAAGACCCCAAAGGCCTTGAGCCATGGATCTCTCCCTTCTGGCTTCCCAAATAACGTGGAGAGCACCCAAAAAGGATGGATGGAGGAAGGCCAGATCAAGATGACACTTGGAACGAGGGCATAGTGATGTCTTCCAGTCAGGAAGAAGGTACCGCACCTGAAGGAAGAGAACAGAGCCTGGATCCCAGGCAGCAGGAAGAGCCATGAAGGGGGTTAGAATTCCATCACCACGGGTGCAGAAGATGTGGTCCATGTCCCACCCACACCCCACGGCCTCACCGCCTCACTGTGCAGTGACACCAGCTGGCAGTACCAGCATCCAAGGCCAGGACGAGGGTAGGGCGAGTGAGACACCCAGCCTGTAACATGCAAGGAGATTCCGCACTCTCAGCTGTTGATGCTGCATCTGCTCCACCCCGATAGAAAGCACCTCACTAAGGTGCCCAGGGCGACTCACTTGTGCACCCGTGTCCTGCCCTGTCTGCATCTCCTTGCCTGAGGACTCTCTCCGAAGCTGAGCAAGATGTTCTCTTCATGCACAAGGCAGTCTCTCCCCGGCCCGTGAAATAGTTCAGCTCCTCACCCTCCCATGAGGCTGTTGTGTTTCACACCTTTCCCAGAATCCCCCAGGCAGTAGTCTGCAGTTGCCAACAGTAGTAACAGCCTTGAAAATGGCCTTTCTGAGCTGCCTTCTCTTGGCCGTCTCCCTCGCCCCCTTCCCCCTGATGAACCCTCTCCTTCTGTGTAAACTACTCACACCAGAATCCTCCTCTTACGTCTTCTTGGGAAACCCGAAGGGAGGCAGAGGGAATTCAAACACCTAATGACACCACCTTGATGGGCTTAAATAAACCTGAACCTCCCTTCTAGTTTAAGAGTCCGTAATTCTGCAACAAATTGGGGCTGAAGCAGGTCTATACTGCGTACTCAGACAGCGCCGAGGTAACCGGTGGATTCTAATGCAGCACAAGACATACAGGGAACCAAGAAAGAAAAAAGAAGTCCTGGAACGGAAATGAGAAAGGTGACAGAGAAACAGCCCCAAGGAACAGGAAGCGTTCCTGCCCTTGTAGGTGTCTCTCCCAAAGGCAAGTCTGCCCTGGCTTGATAAATAGAAGTATTCTTGGCACAGGAAGAAAACCGGATGTGATCAGCATCTTAAGGAACCCAGAGAGGCTGGAGTGGAGGACGAAGGCCCAGGCCAGGGAGAACTGAAAGATCAGAGGCGAGGAGGAGGCAGGGTACAGCCTGCAAATGAAACAATGAGAGGAAAACCTTGGCTGCATAAGCCCTTTCTTCCAAGTGTTTCTGTTTAGAATTTAGTAATAGAGACAGTGGCGCTTCCAGGGACTGGAAATGGCAAGGAAGTGAAAGGGAAGGAAACGAACGGGGAAAGCAGAACAAAGAGCTCTTTGCTTTCAGGTACCTCTGGGCAGGGACTGTGGGCAAGGGGACATTTCGAGAAAACCATGTCCAGTCCTCTGAACTCTCTCCTTTCCCCATCTCCTTTCCCATTCTCCCAGTGTCTCCTTGGCTCACCCCCCAAATCCACTCGTTGTGCTCAAGTCCTTGTTTCAGATTCTGCTTCTGAAGGAGTTCAAATAAGAAGACTTCTCGTTCTTGAAAGTTCCCTTCATGGGCTGTGGGCTGGGCAGCCTGCGTAGGCGGAGACAGTAAATCCATCAGACGCCCCCGTCCCTCCAGCTGCTGTCAGTGCTCTGTGCTGAGGCTCCAGCTGTTGGAGGTCCCCTCGCAGGGCCCTACAGAGGGGAGCTGCCCAGCCTCCACCACCCACCACAGGATTGCCGGACAGGGAGGCACACAGAAGGTCGGCTGCTTCCCGCTCCTGCCTGAGCCACCCTCTCTCTCGACGATGTTATTTCAATCAAGATCGAATGCGCAGACCTTTCACTTCAATGAGGTGCCCAGGCAGCCTCGGCAGAATTCCCTGCCCCCTCCCAAT